GATGGGCTGCTACAGCCATGCGTGTCCGGCCGAGGACTCACAGTGAGAAGTTCAAGGCAAGAATTCGGTCACCATTCTGGTTGTACATATAAAAATAACATTCTCTCTTTTTCCAAGGCATAGGTTGTGTCTAGGGGTGAGGGGCTGAGCAATTCACTACTGTCTGCATCCCAGCTGCTTCTCTGGACTCAGGGGACCTGGATCTGAGCACAGGAAATGAGTTTGTGGTGAATCAGGAACCAGGGCTTTTCCCTTCACTCCTGAGTTTATTGAGCACTGTTGAGCACTGTTTAAAACTATAGTTCTGAAAGTGCTCCTTCCTCAGGATACATCTCTCTAATCCACATCACTGGCAACTGTAAAGTTTCTCTTAGCTATTCTTTCAAAATAAGGATTCTCCTATGAAAATCTGGCCATTTTCCTAACAGGAAAAAAAAAAAAAAAAAATTTAAGAGGCTTACCCCAGCCAATGATGCAGAATTTTAGTATGTATCGGCGAATGTAAGTGTTAAAAACTTTAACCAGAGCAATGTACATGTGAATCGCTTCTAGCCCCATCCAGGTAAATGTTGCTAGAAGGAAAAAATGCAACAAGGCTGCGACAGCAGTGCAAAGTCCCTCCACGTTGAACGAGGTGATCCAGCCATCCAAGAGGAAGATGAGGTTCAGGAACAGCAGGGCCGTGCTCAGGTTCATCAAGATTTTGGAGGGATAATCCCTTCGCAATTTTCTTAAAAGAGGAAAAAAAAAAGGACATGAGTATTCGTATTGGAAACCTACCACCTGCCTCTCAGCTTGTTGCACTGTGGAGCCCGGCATGCTGTGGCGCTGGAAGATATGCCATCGGTATTTCAAACGCCAGCAGGGTCACCATGGTGGGCAGGTTTCTGCAGAGCTTCCAAATTAAAACTGAGTAGAAAGAAAGGCCTGACTACCTACTTCCAAAGATAAGCAAGCCAACGGAAACCTTACGGATCACAATAGAACACTGTTGTCCAACTCACTTGCTTTGGATGTGTCTTCAGGAGAGATTCATCGCTAGAGGAAGACAACATGATTGGTGATATAGAGGGTCAGCTAGGGCAAGGAGACAGTCAGATGGATTGATACCACAGCCACACTGATAGACACAGGGCCAGGTAGGTTTTATTCTGTCATCCATAAGGTTGCCGGGAGTCAAGAGTCAGTGAATTTAATTTAAGACAATTTCTAAAATGCTTTAAAGTTTCCTGGTTTTTAATTAA